ACAAGCACCTCCATCTCCTGGCTCCAACCGTGATCTTGTGGAGAGGCTATTAGGTGCATAAGGTTCCGCATAGTTATTCTGATGACCCGAAAATCCCTCCTCAGGCACATAGGTTTCCATAGAATGCCATAATTGGGGTGGCTGAATTCAAATGTACCGACACCTGGTTTCCTATGGGGGGGGGGGGGGCACACAACGTTATTTTATTGACAAATTGTGCATTTGGACACTTATTTATATATACACATTTATGTATTTTTAAATCTATTTATGTCAACTGTATGTGTACTGTGTGTCTGTTTAGCACCTAATCACCAAAGAAAATTCCTCGTATCTGTAAAATACTTCTTGGCAATAAAGTTCTTTCATTCTGATTAAGTCAATGTGATATGCATAATCCTCTAAAATTTGCTGCTCTCACATCCTTCAACAATATTATCGTGATCTTAGCCATCATGGTGAAAAATATTTTACGCAGTAGAGAAATTACTCCAAGCAACCTGTAATTGTCACCCATGACAAGTGGTGTAGACTAGTGCATTTCCAATGGAACCTCTTTAAGTAGCCTACTTACTTTGTCATTTAATGAGTCAGCCAACATAATATGCTATGGAATATTTGTTAAAGGTCACTAAAAGATAACTAATAGCTTCCAAGTACTTATAACTGACAGTGGCCTGAAATGCCACAACAGAGAACTCGGCTCACAAGACTGACAGGTGCTTCTGATAATTAATATGACTTAAAAACACAAAAGTCATACAGCCTACTTAATAACCGTTTGAAAGATGAAGACAAAAAGACACTAGCCTACCTTTTGCTGCCGTATCAACGCCAAAAGGCGTCTCAAACGTATTTGTCGTCTCGTGGACCGCAGTTTTTCATTTTCCAACATTGGTGGATTACAGCCGCTGTTGCTGCTCCTGCCAGATGCTGTTTGGAAATCATACTGACGTACTGTTGCATCAAATCCTAACTCCGCTAGTGAGAGGGAAGTTCATCCGAAAGTGGCTGCAGTTTTATACCCTCCGCGTTAATTAAGGGAACTCGATTTGGCTGTGAGGGTGACTCCCACCAGAGTTCAATCCGTGACGGAGTGGAAGTGGCGAGGGTTTAGTTTCGGAAAAGCACTCTGTGTCTAATTACCTCATGTCCTCCACCTGGTCTTGGTCCCGCCCTGCTCGTTAATTAGTGTTTAAATGTTTGCTTGTTCTGTTCAGTTTGTGTGACGTTCTTGTCTGATACTGAGTGTTCCGTCCTACCGTTGTCTTTGGATTACTCTGCCTGTGCGCTGGATTATTTTTGCTTGTTGGATTTTCCTCAGTTTTGGACTTTACCTTGTACTCCCACGTAAGCTTGTTTCAGTTTGGTTTTTGAGTTACAGTTTTTCTCGATTGCTTAAACACATTTCTTGAAACTATGCCTCTTTTCTCTCGAAACTCTAAACACAAATCCACAACTTCTCACCCAATTCCCCAAACGTCCTATTTTCAGGTCAAAATCAAGCTCTTCACTCAAAACCATTCAATCTTGCTGAAAAACCAAACTTTGCCCTCAGACATAACACACAAGCCCTCAAAAACACACACACTACAACACAGTCTTACACTGGTGAGATAAATTCAAAACAATACTACAAAAACTGTTTTTAGTAATGTTGCTTGTGGGTCATCCCCTCAAAAACCTTTTCACATGATGAACAAACATAAGAAATACACACGTTTTATTCCTTTGTGTGCTATACAGTACAACACACCCAACAAATTATTCTGCCACAGCGTTTGGTCTTGGACAGGCCAGAGATTCTTGTTCTCAATCTCCTCCTCTGTTTCCCTCCTCCTCTACCTACTACTCCTCCCCTCCTCATCTTGCTCCTATCCAACTCCAACTGTTCCTCTTTCTTCACCTCTTACTCCTCTCCATACTGCTCTTTTTCCTCCTCCTCATCGTCCTTCTTCTCCTCCTTCTCTGGATCCATTGTTCCAAAACTAAATGAACTGATTCTGGCCCTTTTATCTGTCTATTGAAGCTTCTGATTGGTGTGTTATCAATTTTGACTGTTTGTGTTTTACCTTGGTAGCTGTGAACAATATTGAATGTCAGTGCTTTCTCAATGACCACGTGGTGTAGGCAATTGGAAATTAAGGGATTTGTGTCTAGAGTTTAGGGAAATGGGTGTGCTTTTTGAAAATGGTTTTGAAATTTTATTGAAAAGCCTGGTTATAGTGTTTAAGCAATTGAGAAAAACTGTAATAAATATTTTAAACTTCACCTTCATCACGTATTGTCTGCATTTGGGTCTACACCTAATACTGCGCTCAGCCACCAATGACATATACAGTATATATATACATTGGCGAGAGAGAGGACAAATTGCCAATGTATATATATATACAGTGGGGGAAATAAGTATTTGACCCCTTGCTGATTTTGCAGGTTTGCCCACTTACAAAGAATGCAACGATCTATAATTTTAATCATATGTACATTCTAACAGTGAAAGACAGAATCCCAAAGAAAATTCCAGAAAATCACATCATATGAATTTATAAAAATTGATAACCATCTGATGAGGAAAAACAAGTATTGACCCCCTGGACAAACAGCATGTTAATATTTTGTAGAAAAGCCATTATTGGCCAGCACATATGTCAAACGGTTTTTATAGTTGGTGACAAGGTTTGTGCACATTGTGGACACTCCAAATCATTCAGGTTCCGAGGTTGTCGCCTGGCAACTCGAATTTTAAGCTCCCTCCAAAGATTTTCAATTGGATTCAGGTCTGGAGACTGGCTAGGCCACTCCAGAACCTTGATGTGCTTCTTCTTCAGCCACTCTTTTGTTGCTTTGGCGGTGTGCTTAGGGTCGTTGTCGTGCTGAAACACCCATCCTCGACCCATCTTCAGCTCTCTCACTGAGGGAAGGAGGAGATGTTGGTCCAGAATTCCACGATACATGGCCCCGTCCATCCTCCCCTCAATACGATGGAGTTGTCCCGTCCCCTTGGCTGAAAAGCACCCCCAAAGCATGATGTTGCCACCACCATGCTTGACGGTGGGGATGGTGTTCTTTGGGTTGTACTCAGTGTTCTTTGCCCTCCAAACACGACGAGTTGAGTTGAGGCCAAAAAGTTCTATTTTGGTCTCATCTGACCACATCACCTTCTTCCAGGCCTCTTCTGAATCGTCCAGGTGGTGAATGGCGAACTTCATGCGGGCCTGTACATGTTTCTTCTTGAGCAGGGGGACCTTGCGTGCGCTGCAGGATTTCAATCCATGACGGCGTAGTGTGTTACCAACCGTTTCTTTTGTAACTGTGGTCCCAGCTGCCTTCAGTTGATTCATCAGTTCCCCCCCTTGTGTTTTTGGGATGATTCCTCACCGTTCGCATGATCAGGGACACCCCACGAGGCGAGATCTTGTGTGGAGGCCCAGACCGAGGGAGGTTGGCGGTGGTGTGGTGCTTCTTCCATTTCCTGATAACTGCACCAACAGTTGATCTTTTCCCTCCAAGTTGCTTTCCGATTCTCTTGTAGCCCATCCCAGCCTTGTGCAGATCAACAATCTTGTCCCTGATGTCCGTAGAAAGCTCTTTGGTCTTGCCCATGGTGGTGATGTTGGATGCTGGTTGTTTGGGTGTTGACAGGTGTCTTTTATACAGGTAACGAGGTGAGGCAGGTGTATTTGATGTAGATAATTGGTTGGGATTGGGGCTGTGTCTTAAAGAAAGACTAACTGGCTTGTAGGAGCCAGAATAGGGGGTCAAATACTTGTTTTTCCTCATCAGATGGTTATCAATTTTTTTATAAATTCATATGATGTGATTTTCTGGAATTTTCTTTGGGATTCTGTCTTTCACTGTTAGAATGTACATATGATTAAAATTGTAGATTGTTGCATTCTTTGTAAGTGGGCAAACCTGCAAAATCAGCAAGGGGTCAAATACTTTTTTCCCCCACTGTACTGTATATGTCATTGGTGGCTGAGCGCAGTCTTAGGTGTAACACACACACACATCTATACTGTATGTATGCACACATATAAAGCCAAAACCATCGTTATTGATTGTAATGATCGTGACACAGCTACATTATGCATGATGCTTATATAATAATCTGCTCAGCTCATAGACCTTGTAGTCCTTCAATAAGAATTAAAACATTAAAAAATATCCAAATTGGGGTTCTAAGCTCTGCACATTACAATGGCAATATACCACTAATGCAATTTTCTGATGCTAAAAACAGTACCATTACAGTACATTTTCAAGCCCCCAGCCCCACTCCCACCACCACTAATTTTAATTGTACCCCATTGCCTTTCTCTGCCTACTGACCCACACATGTCATTAAACCCATAACCTCCTTTTATTTGTTCTGCACACTCACACGCTGAATGAAAACTGCATGGCTCTGATCTTCTTAGCTGAGTGACCTTGCTCAATTCAGAGCTGGACAAATGCCAATTGTGCTACTTACAGCTAATGACACTTACCAACTGTAATTATCACCATACGACGTGATTAATGAGGGCTTCTTTGATCGTGGCAGAGAATAATAAAGTAATATTATTAAATGTGCTTGACAAAGGAAAACATTGGAAGAGTTGTTGAGTCAACGTGGTGCCAAGCCCAAAGTGGGTAATTTCATGGGATAAAAGTAACTATGGGAACACCAGCCAATAAAGGCTAAAAGGTTTGTTTTGTCCCAAAAAACTCCCACATCCAACATCCTACATTCCTAACTGGCCCAAGCCTGATAAGCATGTCTTCAAATGAAGGCTATACCACTGATGTTTCTGTTATGTTCATTTCATGTGACGTTGGGATAGTTTGTGGCTACAGGTTCTAGTGTTGAAACTGTAAGGCAAGTTTATTTAACCTCTGTTTTCTACAGTATTATTTCTATAAAAAATTTTGCCACTGTGTGCAGCTTTCACATAGATCAGTTTTAACCTTCAATTTACTTCATCTTATCTGAGTGAAATATGTGATGGAGGCATCCAATATTGTAACCTCAAATGTTACCCTTTCTCCCATTCTACCTAATTTAGATTTACTCCTAAAGACCAGTGAAGATAGTTACATCAGACCTTGTGAACTTGTCAATTTCACTGCAGCAAATTACACTGACTGTAGGAAACTGTGAACAAAGTAACTGTGACATCTTCCATTAACTTTTTAGTGGCCCATCTGAAGGCCAAGAAATGGGATTTCTGGGTGCAGTCTTGTTTTGGGGGGGGCAAGATAACTAGGGTAGAAAAGGTTAGACCAGGTGGAGCCTGAAGAGAAAGGTAGCTCAAATGATCATCAAAATCACCCTTAGAGGAGGCGTTATGAAGAAGCCAGTAAGTATGGCAAGTATGACCTCATGTACGTCACACACATTATCTATTCCAACATGGGTAATAAGTCTTTGTGCCACTTGGTGCTGTGGATTTTGACCTTGTTTTGTACCAAACTTGTCCCGTCCAAAACACTTAACGGCCCCTTGCTATGTTGTTTAAAACAATTATATGACAGAATACAACACTGCTAAAAGAATGCTGTTCTATATTCAGAAATGGTGTTTCACTGTAGTGAGTAAATTATCACTGGGTAGTTCTATTTGAACCAAAGTCTTTTATAGCACAGTTAGCAGGTTAGCAAACCAGCCAACAGAAATGACAGCTCAAAATATCCAAATATACAAAGATAATAAAGTTTTAGCTATTCATAAATTTACCATTATTGTATTCATAATTCAGCCTAGCATGCTTATTTAAGTATTAAAGGCTAGTATGACTAGTTTAAATTTGGTCAGTTAGGTTAATTAGCTAACGGAGATAACTTTACATGTTTGGACAGAATTTTAAAATTTTCTGTTAGGCTTTACAATAATATCTTACCTCTTGACTTTTTTACTAGGCCAAAACAAATTGCAAGGGTCTTTGTTCATGGTGTTATGTTGCAACAAGTACAGTCGAGGAATATATATATATATATATATATATATATATATATATATATATATATATATATATTTTGAACGCTTATCAGACACAAATTTTTAATACTGTAACACAAGACTATACAACATTGGCAATTTGTCACGCCAGAAATAATTTAATTTATCCGCAGAAATATCATGTTACAAGGTATTCTACCAGGAATGTGTGCTTGCCCATATTTGATAGGCATTTTTAAACTGTATTGTAGCAAATGTTTAGCCAGGTTAAACTTTTTAGCTCTCTGGCTCAGCTAAATAAAGTTTAATCAAAACTATTAGTCTCTTACAGTTATTCACCAAAGAAATGTTTGTGATAACAAACCTTACAGTTGAGACAGTCAAAGATGAGGCCAGATTTGCTCATCTGTGTTTATAATGATGGTATCAAGCTTACCTGCAGGCATTCAACACGACCACACTCTGCCCTCTGGCAAAGGACCTGGCCCCGGTTGCAGGTACAGAACTCACAGCCTGTACCGTTCCACATGTCTCCATTGTAACGCACGGCGCCTTCGTACAGGCAGCTTCCCTTGGCAACAGCACACTCATCACAGCACTGACCAGCACGCTTCACTTTGGTCTGACCCTGCAAGGAAGCAGTACAGCGAGTTTAGGTTCGGGTCTCATTTTGGTTTTCATGTACAGTCAGATGATAGGAATGAAGGAATGCAGACGGAGCTGCAAGACAAGACAAAGAAAATCCAAGGAGCTTATAAAAATGCTGGGTTTTGTTTGTGTGTGTTTCAGCAGAGATAGAAAAAGAGGATGACGGAGAGCGTGTGTGTTGCATTATTGCGGGAAAACACACCAAGCAGTTTGGACCAGATATTTCTTATGACAAGATTAGAGGTGTAGATTTACTGACACTGTAGATTTCTTCCACAGCTGAGAATTTGAGATCCTCTGTATTTCAAGAAGAGAGTTCATTTCATTCTAGAAAACCTCTATATTTGATATTCAAGATAATCAAGCAGGTAGTTACTAGCTCAGCTTCTTTCTCCTTGTATCTGCTTATTTCAAAGTGGTGGTTTTCAGTCCACTTGGATCCTCTCTTTTCTGTGCTAGATTCCCTTCTTTTTCTGCTATCATAGGCTGTTAAAACGTCCTCAGCCATGCTGAGATACATATATTTTTACTTAAAATTTAAAAATTAAATAAAAAAAGGATACTTTGAGTGACAGAGCAACGTGCCTCAGAAAGGTTTCCACTGGCTTCACAGCAGGAAGCCTGATAAGTGCTTCCCCCAAGAAGTGTTTCCACTTTATAGGTTTAATAAGAGAATATAAGGTCTGAATTCTATACTTTTAATTAGTGTGTGTGTTCAGCATTTTACAGTAACAGTGTACACTGGCTGCTTTTTAAAATACAAACTAAATTTAGAATTAAAAACTTGATATGCGATATTTAAGGATTTAACCCTCTGATCACACATACTGTAGATTTCCAAACATTGGAAATTACATTGATAACATTATTGTATCACTTGACATAATGAGCTTCCTTGTTTTGAGTTTTAATTGTTTTTATGCCTCCCTGCAAAAACTATTTCCTCTTGTTGGTCAACAGAGATCTTAAATGAACTGAAATATATAGAGTAGATAAATAGGAAATGTTTGTATAGTCTTACCTCTACATGTAGTTTAAAGGATAAGAGTGTCAATCTTTTTTTATTTTTAACAAATCCTATGAAAATATCATAAACTACTAGAGTGAATCCTACTAGACTCGAGCATAACCTTACCTACTTCCAAGGTGCTTTGGGAAGGAAAAAAACCTGAACAGGTCAAAACTCCAGCGATAACAGTTGTAGTACGAAGAACAATTTTATTGTCAGATCAACACGTTTCGGCTTGTGGCCTTCATCAGGGTCATCAGCGTAGTTCTAACAAGAACCAAGAGCACATTACTCCTATTCTTAAAGGCTTCCAGTTTGGTATAGAATATATTTTAAAGTGCTACAGCTAGTTTATAAATTACTTAGTGGCTTAAAGCTAAAACTCATTTTTGATATGCTTATGGAATATAAACTCTGTTGGGCCTTAGATCTTGAATCAGCTGGTCGCCTCCAGTCAGAACCAGCTGTGAAGTTGCATTTAGCTTATCTGCTGATATTACTGATGATTTTAAATGTTATAGTATATAACAACTTTTGCCAATTTAAAATCATTTAACCCTCTATGTATTACTGCAATGTAACTGCACTTTAACTGTACTATAATTTCAATTCCTTGGTCTACCTAATACTGTTTTGTTTTATCTTTTATTTAACTTGTCACTTGCATTAGCATTGTTATGTACTTGTCTGTGCGTGGCCCTTTAATGTCGTGTTGTGTTTTTTTGTCCTCTCTGACTTCACTAACAAGTGTTCCAGCACAGAATGAAAGCTGCAAGCTGAAATTTGCATGCAATTAACAATGAAATGTCAGCAGCCCGTGTGTGTGCTTTTGTGTTTGTGTGAGTGTGTGTATCTGTCAGACAAAGAGCGACACTTCTGTGTGGTCATGAATAGTTAATCATCTCTGAATCCATTAGTTTCAACACTCACTCACATTGTGAATAAAACTGAATGTCAATGAGTGCGCATGCACATGTGTAAGACTACCCACCTTGTCACAGGTGACAGGCCAACAGGTGTGTGTGTGGCATTTAGACTGGCCCCGGTCACACACACATGTGGTGCAGGCGTTCTTCTGCCACTGCTCGCCATGCTGCCAAGAAACACACAGACACACAACACTTAGACTATCTGAAATCTACACACACACTCTTACACAGTCTTCTACACAGTGAATCACAGGCTATTTGTAGGAAACTCAAAGCTCATTTGAATCCAATGAGTGTCTTCTTTTCTTTGTGGGGATGCAGAGTAGGAATCGGGTGCCTAGACGGTGTGAATGGCATACAAACACACAGGCTCACACACATACACACACTGTGTAGTCAGGAGCAGCTATCAGATGTCAACATAATTCTCAGAATGTTTAAAACAATAGTACTATATTCATGAAATAACAAATATATGTAGTCTAGACCTCTGAACTCCTTCTCACTTTTCAAACTAATCTATCCCAGTTTTAACCAGATGGCCAGACATCTTTTGATCTGCAAATTGTCAAATCAGTGCTTACTGGTTGGTGATGGTATTCAAAAACAGCCTAACTTCTTTATAAACCTCTGTCTCGCTGGCAGAGAAAATATTCATCTATGCACACTCTCATCGGGACACTAAAGTGAAGTGAAGTTGTCCCACAGCAGCTCCATGCCTGATGTGTTTCAGGCCTTCAATATATATTCTTTCTCAATTTGGGGTCAACTTCCTGTAGTTGTTATATCAGTGAAAAATGTCTTCTTTCTTGTGAAATAATGAAATAATTGCATCCTCCAGGCTTCAGTCAATAAATAATCATGCCGTTTTCCTAAAGAGGAAGGAAGTTAGGATTTAATCTGACATTATACTGTTTAATTTGGGTTGACTTTGCAAACACATACCAGTAGGTCACCTCTTTTTATATTGTTTATGAGTGTTTTCAACTCTAACAAGAGCCACAGTTTACAATTAGTGGTTTCTCACAGCTGTCTCACGCACGCACGCACGCACGCACGCACGCACACACACACACACACACACACACATTGTTTTCAAAACCCTTGCTATAAACCCTCAGGTCCTAAAACCACCACTTACTATACAAAACTGAACTTTGAATCCAAGTGATTATTTTCATTTTTGCCTTTTCAAACTAGGTCTCTCTATTAACAATTTAAGTCTGGAGGATGTAAATTAGTTCATTATTTCCCAAGAAAGAAGACAATTATTACAGAGATAACAGGCAAGTGTTTGACTAATGTGGGATTATGAATTCTTTAACATTATTTAACATTACATTAACAAAGTGCAAAAACCCTTACTATCAAAAATTACATCAAATAGAATGTCAAGTTTATCTGTCAGTAAGAAACAATGTAGTTGAATTGACATGTTTTCATGCCCATTTACAACATAGAACAACTTACAGACACTCACACACACACACAGTATTATGTGTGTACATGCATGCATGTGTGTACTTTTAAAAGGACTTGGTTGTGTATTTGAGACCAGAAGATAAGCGACATAATTCATTCTCTTTAATAAATTACAAATTGAGATGTCCCTGACACCCTGAAGGCAAAAACAAGTATCTGAAGCCATGACGCAAACGTGTGTGTGTGTGTGTGTGTGTGTGTGTGTGTGTCACACATTAGACAGGATGGGACACTCTATGATCAAAGGAGAAACTTGGCAGTGAGAAAGAGATGGAGGTGTATGTATGTGAGTGTGTGTGTGTGTGTGTGTGTGTGTGTGTGTGTACAATGTAAACACAGCAGGGGAAAGCAAGAGCAGAAGAGAAGAGGGGAGAGGAGAGGACACAAAAAAAAGAAGAGTAGAGAAGATAGAAGGGTAGAAGTGACGACAAGATGACAAACGCCCAGAAGAGAAGAGAAGATAGAAGCTGCTTGGACGTCTTTCATCTCAGTATCAAAATACACACATAGGCATTCAAGCACACGCACGCAAGTCTCCCTGTCATCGTAAAAAAATATGGTAATAGATTGTGCAGAGAAACACAAAATACAGTACAAAATGTGCCAGGTCACGTAAGTACAGATTTATAAGCTGTCATCAGCCGCCTCCAACACACACAATGGGTCTTCCAGTGGCTTTGTAACACAGACTATTGCCAAAAAAATAATGGCACATACACACATGTTTTAAAAATCGAAAATGAACACACAGGTGACCCACCTGGTGCTGTTTACCAGCAGACAGACAGGGGTTGGACACACACTGAGGACAGCACTGGCCTGGCTGGATCACCAAGTTCTCGTGCTGAAGGAGGAAGAAACAAAAACAGTCAGACCATGTGTGTGTGTGTGTGTGTGTGTGTGTGTGTGTGTGTGTGTGTTGTGTGTGTGTGTGTGTGTTGTTGTGTGTGTGTGTGTGTGTGTGTGTGTGTGTGTGTGTGTGTGTGTGTGTGTGTGTTGTGTGTGTGTGTGTGTGTGAGAGAGACAGACAGACAGATGTCCTACAATAATAAAAAACAGTGAGCACAAATCCAATTTCTTCTTCTTCATAGGAGAGTTTGGACTATGGGCACAAGTCCACCATTAACAAACCCAGCTAACTCTTGGATGGATTCATGGCTAGCTCTTTTGACTATCAAGATACAATAATGTATATGTAAAAGAGACAGCTTAATAGCTGTTGGATGATATATGCTGTGTATTTTTATAGCTAGCAGTTTTCCATTGCTTCATGTCTTTCTGCTTAATTAGGCTAAACACATAGGGTAGTGAAAGATGAGCATGTGCCATTCTTTTGGGTGGTGGCGTTCCCTTCAGTCACACTCCTGTGGGAGCCACGCTGATCCAACAAGGATTTATTACAATGTACTCAACTTAACTACAATGTATATAAAGTACCACTGTGATTTGGAATGAAAACAAGAGGTGGGTCTCTATTTTTGAAAAATAAAGTTGTCCATAAGGGATGCAGTGGAACAGAAAACAAGGCCACATTTGTAGAACATTTCTATATAGATGCCATCAACATTCATGCCAACAGGTTTTTTGAATTTGAACAAACGCAGAGCCATTGTAACTGCCAGTGTGAACATAATGAAAAAGTGTGTGAAATATTTCCAGAAACTCACCGGTTTGCAGGCCACTTGCTGACACTCTGCGACTGAACACTGGACTTCCCCGTTGCTGCAGACACATCTGGAACAGAGGCTGGGCTTCCACTCTTCACCGTCTCTGTACACAGTCCCCTGCCAGGAGCAAGACTCTGACACACACACACACAAACATAGATAAACACAGAATGAGTAAACAGTAGAATTAGGTGTCAGGTAATGAGCTGACTGTTTAAGCATTTTTTGCCCTCACATTCAATGATTTACAGTGAGGGAAAACAGTAGTTGCTAATTAACTGTTGAGAAGCATCATAGCAGCTCTAAGACATCATTAGAGTCAAGATTAACCTTTCAGCTCAGCTCCAGCTGCTCTGTGCACTCTAAAAACTCTGGGTTTGTCACAACAACACCCTGTATGATAGAAGACATGATGCCACACAAAGATGAAGTGCGGGATCCAAGCACCTGAGTGACCTTTTTCCAGGGCAAGTATTAGTCCACTAAAGACCCTGCCAGGTTCAGGGAAGTAAATGAAAAAACAAAGGGCCAGGGTTTCAAGATACAAGGCAAAACAACATGACATCCAGGAACATGATTTATTTATTTATCTAAGAAGTGGGTCTCCTTTATGGCTGTAATTAGGAAAATCACAAAATGATAATATACAATAGTTTCACTTTGTAAATTCACTTGAATGCACCATTTTAATCACCACTGTAACCCTGAAAGCATGAATCATTTTACGATATGAAAAGCTTTATCAAGATTTGCATTGGGAACATTTACATTTTTATTGCAGTTTTGGGTGGATGGATGCACCAACTCACAACTTTAGAATACAACATTAAATAAGGTCAAGGCCTCGCTAACAGAAGGAGTACCAGCAAAACCCTTTTGAGGTTAGAACCACCTGAGTTGAGAGAAAGAGCAAAGCTCATGTTTATTGAAAGAGGAGGAAGTGAGCGAACCTGAGGCAGTGTGCTGCTCTGTAGGACTGTCAGCTCCACGACAAACACATTTAGACTTAGGTATCCTTTGTGAATGTGTAAGAGCAGTCTAAATGGCGAGCCTTTGTGTGTACGTGTGTGTGTCTGTGTGCGTGTGTATGTAACTTGTGTTGTTTGGTTTGAAACTAAAATAATCCATGAAAGGAACATTTATAGCAGCTTTTTTTCATTTCGGTCATACAAGGACTGTTTTGAAAAATTGCATTGAAGGAAGTTTCGACACCTGAGGACTGAGAGTCAGCAGATGAAAAGCACTGCATTCACACACTACAGTCAGGTTTCCATCCAAACGTAGCATCAATTTTAACCACATTTCCAGAAAATCGGCAAAAGACAATGTGCGTTTCCATCCAGTACCGACATGTGAATATTAGTAGTTGGTTCATTGAGATTATGACGCTAATTCTCCAGTCAGTTGTAGTTACGTCATTGCAGAAGAAGAGGGTGCACCAAGATGACGCAATTAACAGCCAGGTGGATGGAAATACACTTTATGCTGTCAGACAGACAAACAGATGCTGTGTGGGGACAACAAATAAGCAAACATGGCAGTTCTGAAAAGCATTGTGTGTATTTTGTTCTGAAGATTGCTGCATGGTACACATGCAACTCTCAAAGCTTGTATGTCTGTGCTTGCAAGCTTTCAAAACAGTGACTCAACTCAGCTGCATTCAAATTCATCTATACCATAACCTTAATTTACAAAAATAAGAAGTAAAACTACTAAAACACTGAAACATCCACTATCTAATTTTTGTTGCTGTATGACATAAACTGAAACAAAAGGTCCATCTGGAGGTAGGAAACCAATAAAAACAGCACACAGTACAGTACAAACAAAGGGATGTGGAAAATGTGGAAAATAGACCTATTGTCTTTAAAAAGGAATCCATAAGAAACAGGCTGCATCTGAGATCTCCATGTGCAAATGGGCCTCACCTCCATTGCGGCCACACACGGGGCAGCACTCTCCAGCTGGGATAAACGGGCTCTGGTCCGCAGGGCAGCTGAGAGGGGAGCAGGGACGAGTGTTGCAGGATACACTCCCTCTGGAACAAACACACACTGAACAGGGCGAGGGACTCCACTGGCTGTCATGCTGTGGGAACCAGAGAAATAGACAGTTACGCACAGAAATACAACCAGATTGGAAAAAAGGAGGAAGATGCAGAGAGACAGTGGGATGAGGAAAGCTGTTTTGCTCTCTGTGGACGAGACAACTTTGTAAGCCTAAGCCTGAGTGACAGATGAGAGAACAGAGCCACAGAGGGGGGAGAAGGTAGATGAAAGATGTGCCAAAAAGAGACCATGGGAAGAGAGAGAAAGGAGAAAAAACTGATTCAAAAATACGTGGGTGAATGTGGATAAGGAGGCACACCGTGTGAGGACATTACCTTCAATTTTGAAGACTGAAATGCAGTTGTAGGTTGTTTCAGCAGAGCAGTCTGCCCAGTTAAACCGATCTTCCTAGCTTTTTTTTCATCAGTTCATTCATATGTGTGCATACTAGTGTCAAGAAAATACCTCAGGCCAACATGTGTTGGTATAAAACCATATGGTTGTTTCCATCAGTGATTGACAGACCTGGACTGATGGAGTCCATACGTGTTAATTAGAGTTAGAGATACATCTCTTATATATCCATTTATGGATATGAGTTGTTCTTCCACTCTAAATGAGATATCAGCATGTTGATGTTGCCTGCAGTCTAAATGATAGAGGTGAGGATGTGACTTCACTCATTTTCTGAGGCATCAGGCTGTGAAACCTGCAATAAAGCCTTCTTTAGCCTGCATGAAATATTTCATTAGTATGGGGTTTAATGGAGAATTGGTCTAAATGGGTTTTCACCCTGGAAAGAAAATATTTCTGTTTGAAAATAACAAGCAAAATATGTTTATGCTTTGTGGCACACAGCCAGTGTGCTTTTTTCCCCCTTTAAATATTGAAAAATATGAATAAATGAATAAAAGAAGCAGGAGTGGTGACAATTTGTGAAAGCAGTTACAAATTGTCACTCCTGTTCTTCAGTGAAGATGCAGTAAAGCCCTTAAAAGGCCGTGACTCCTCTCCAAACCTCCTCCTGGTAGTTCAGATCTGTGTAAAGTGGCACTTCACCAGGGAAGTGATGCCAGTGGAATCTCCAAACCCGGCCTTGTTTTGTTAGAGGATGTGTACTGTCCAGCTCATTAAGCCGAGGCCACTCAATGGAAGATGAACAAGAGAGTGATTGTTTCTTTAGTGATAGGGAGGCAGGACGGGGTTGGGTCTCTGAAACCAGTTTTTCAGTGACCAATTTTAACAGACTTTTGAAAAATTATTTAAATTCACTCAAATCCATCGTGGACTGGAACTTTAAATATTTTACAAACACAAAGACAGGAAGAGAAAAACACAACCTATATACTGTAAGATATTTGAACTTGTCATTCATAAACAACATGCATTAATCAGCCTCAACCCTTCTAGTTTCAGGCTATCCCCCAGATGCTGGAGCCTGGCTGCAGGGATTTGCTCCCATTCAGCCACAACCAACAATGATGTTGGGTGATCTGGCTCGCAGTCTGCATTCCAGTTCATCCCAAAAGTGTTGGATGGGGTTGAGGTCAAGGCTCTGTGCAGGTCGATCAAGTTCTTTCACACCAAACTGCTCTGTGCACACTGGCATTGTCATGTTGAAACAGGAAAGGGACAGGAAACAGAAATTGTTGCAAAAGATTTCAGCATGTATGCAGTAGCAAAAAGATTTCCATGCATTTGAAGCCAGGGCCCTAGATAAACCATGAAAAGAGCCCCATACCAAAAATCTACAAGGCTGTATCTTTCTGTGCGCATAATAACATTTTGTAGAGGGGTGGATGATAGGTGGAAGAAAGAGCATGGAAACAGTATTTTCTCCCTTTTATGTCACTTCCACTTACTCCATAAATGACTCCTTCAAACTGGCAGGAGCCCTGGGATGAGGAGATGCACTCAGGACAGCACTTGTTGGCTGGGATCCTCAAACGCTCACCCTTTAGAAAAGACACACAAACACATATGAATACACACATACACTCCAAGCACAATCAAAATAACCAGAGACAGCAAGAGAAAGCAACGTGAGTCCCTTTCACCAGTATGAATATAAAACTTGTCTTTTACTATCTGACTATTTCCATCTAAATTAACCGACATGTGACATAAATAACAAACCAGCCTCTATCGGGCGTGCACAGCGCGTAGAATACAGAGCGAGTGCGGTGGAGGTATTATATTACAATACAGATTCAACACGCTGCCCTTCAGTTGCACTGCCTAAAAGCCCTGATTGAGATTGAATGTGTAGAAGGAAACAAATAGGAAAACAGCAAGGGCCAGACGCAGAGCTGGTGAATAGCTTAGGTGACGTTTATTTGAAAATAAACAAATGATAAATGATATGGGAGGACACAGAAGGAGGGGAGGAATACTATTTGTCTAAGGTGAGCGAAAACAACCCCCAGAGAGCTTCAGAGAATGTTTTGCGTCAGTCAAACAAGAGGAAAAAACTGAACAGAGCTACACCAAATCAGCAGCAGAAGACAAATTACGTGTGAACAGGCAGAAGAATGGCAACTCAATGTTTAAATAACCAAGTATGGGAAATAAAAGTGATGGAAAATGAGCTGTGCAGCAGGTAGTAGTTCACCATGAATAAACAGATATACCAAAGGTTTATATTGTTCTTTCAGATGTTCATTAATTGCCTACAAGTCCCCAAAATTTTTAAATAGAAACAAGACTACCAGCTGAATTTTGATGTCTGGAAAATTCATTTAAAAGCTACTTTGTACTCATAAATTAAGCACTAATAAAAACCTTGTTAATATGTTTTCATATATTTAGGCTCTTGTTTTCGTATCTCTTCTTCCAACCTTTTCATCTCTTAATTGTATTCTTTTCTTTGCTTTTTTCTGTCTGCTGCCTCAAATTTAATCACCAAAATAAATGGTGATAGTACAAGAATTTGATCCAATTTCAAATGTTATAGCTGCAAATAAAGAGAGATGGTTCAGGTTCAGGAAGAACAGAGTTAATTTATCACTGGAGTGTTAGATTCTTACAATGGTAAAACTCAAGGTTTACTACTCTTGTAAGTAAATAAACAATAATGTAAGTAAATGTAAGTGAATTTGAGATGTACTAGCCACTTTCCTGCCTAAATTAAAATATTTGCAGGTTCCAGCCTCTACAATCTAAGGATTTTCCTGTTTTTGTCATTTATGATTTTTGACTGTTTGAGGAACAACACTTTGGGCTCTGGAATGTTGCGATGGCCGTTATATAATACTCACACATTAGGATATTTATTTTGTTGAGGAAAAGGTACTGGAAAAAGATTTACTGTCATATACTATCATATAGATAAAAGATTTGATCATAATTGTTTTGAAAGTTCTACCTCAGATTTGTGAAATGAAAAGAAAGCTAAAGAAAAGCTTTTTTCAATTTTCACTCAGGAGCAAAAATCAGCCTTTAAACTTGAAAGAAGTAATGATTTGACATTTATCGTGATAATTATTGATATCGAATAGTATGATATCTTCGTATATATATATATATCGTAATAACATTTTTGGCCATATCGCCTAGCCCTAGATCCAAATCTGAATTTAAAGTCTTTGGGGGAGAAGCCAAACACCCCTGGATTTATAGACTCTGTGTAATAAGTATCATCTTCTCCATCAGTATGTATTACTTTAGAATATGCTGTTTTAAATGACAGAATGATGAAGATATGAGCAGCCTTATCCAAACACACACATCTGTGGTAGATGATTAGGCCAGAATGTAGAACATTACAGAAAAGTTAAGATACTCCTGTGAAATTTAGAGATGGATTTTAAAAAAAGAAATTTCAGCCAGTAGATAAAAGAAAAGCACTATAATCAGACAGGCAGATGATATAAAACCCTAATACTTTTTTTTTTATCGCAGGTGAGGTGAGAGGAAGTCACATTTTTATGAGGGAGCACACGGCTTGGTGAGCATGATAACAAATTTGTAATTAACATTGGATTGCTAGCAAGCAGAGGGGAATTCATTAGACATTGATTGTTGCCTTAGCTTAGAGTTGGGATTGGATTTGATTGGATTAAAGCACATTTAAGAAGAAGCACACAGAGAAACAGCCAGATAGACTGAGTGAAAGGGAGCTTTAAAAATGCGTTCCTGCAAATTCAAATAAGCCAAGGCTGGAAATAACAGTCTCCGAATAGTTGTCATTGTGACTAATTAAATGGTGCAATCGGCAGACTTCACTGCACAATAGTCTGTCATGTCATTGATTCTTGTTGTAAGGGCAGCTCACAAAGAGTTGCCCTTGATGAGCGATTAAACAAACCCTTGAAAGAAGATCTGCACTTCAATGTGAAATGGAGAGAGGGAGATTAAAATATCACAAAGAAAAATCAAAGCCAATCTATTTTATGATGGTTACTGTCCAGTAGCTTAAAGAAAATGCCCTCTAATCATCTAAATATAAACAATTATGGTGGGTCTGCATCTTAGTCATGTATAGAACTTTTCTCTTAAAGTTCCACCCTTTTTTGTGGAATTCCAATGGATCAACTGAAGTTTTAAGAAAGATTCTCAAAGGAAGAGCTGTTTTAAAGGAATTATTCTTTTGCTTTAAACTAAAGTTTTCCATGTGCATTACTGAATAAAGTATTTTAAGTTAATTATGTCAAGTGAAAAGGCAGGACAGACATTTTTTACTTTGTGAAATCTGTCCCTGCTTCTTGAAATTTTACACTAGTAGTATAATGTTACTAGTATATAATAAAGTTATATCCTGGTTAAATAGCTTGCATAAATCTGAACCCCCCACCCCCCAAGCTTTTGATGATCTTACTAACTGTAACTGTTTTACTAACTAAATAAATACAGTCTACACAAACTAACGTGGCGTTAACTAGGTTGACTATGTTAGCTTAGTTGCGTAACTGACATTTAAGCTTAAGCATTTGTTTAAGCTAATGTTAGCCATACCAGACTCATAATCTTGCTAATAACCTTACCTACTTGCATTTTAATATAAAGCAATATGTTAGAAGGGTGGAAGCTGATCTTATGAATCTTAAAGATGTGATTCTAAAGTTAACTTTAAGAAAAACTCATACCAGGTTAGCTAAGGTTAGCCTAACTGACGTTTAGCATTAAGTTAGCTAAAACTGAAGTTTTAGCCATCCGGGGCTAGGTATAGCTTACTCTTAAGAGCAATTTTACTCTTATTATTTAGTCTTATTACTTAGTCTAGGCAGACTTCTTACCTTTCAACATCATGAATGCCACAATTACAAAGAAAGGGAAAAGTACATTTTCATTATAGTAACTACCAAATGTCTTTTTTCCATTTGAGAATGCCCAAAGCTAACTTATTCTCAGAGGAGCTATGATCCTTTGACGACACTCAGTTCCTCAAAGAAATGTTTTGTATAAATATTTAAATAAAACTACTTTCTGAAATATTTTCAAGGTAGTTAATGAAGGCAGAATTTGTTATTTTCTTGTCAGTAAAATCTTGTGCAAGGACCACAACCAAAAATGGACACTCACAACAGTCAAAGCCTGATATATCTTCTTCCTCTGTGCCATGGAGCTCCACTGTTGTCCAAAAACTATTCGCTAATAACACATCAGTGGGCCACACTGTTGCACTGGGAGACATGTTACTTCATTACACACACACTGTTGTGTCTTTTGATTCAACCCCACATACAGCATCCTGCTGCCAGAAGTACTCATTAGCACACTGAATGTGTATTAACCTGCTACTGAAAATAGCCACCAAAAATGCACTGCTGCAAAGCATTTAGCCCTGTGTGAGTAAAGCTTGCCTTTTTTTAAATGAAATGAAAAAGCATAAATATATATAATATATCTATCTAAGCTTTACTTGCTTAATAGGAACCAATGCCAAAGACAGGGTAGGGAAGTTCTATTGAGACAATGACTACACTGTTGGTTTTGGTCTTTTCAAGGGATTTGTTGACAGCAGGAGAAATGTAGAATAACAAATTAAATATCCAATAAAAAAATACATTTCCTGTTGCCCTAGGTATGAATTGTCTGCAGTTTCCACCCATACTTCTCCCATAAAATGTCTTACCCTCTGGAAGTCACACTGTGGGTTGGGGCAGTGGGTGGGCCTGCATATGGCCACATTGCTGTAGCAGGTACACTCCTGACACGACTGCGGTCTCCATGATGTGTTGTTCTGTCAAGACAAAACAAAAAAAACGACATGAAACACTACTGAGGGCAGATTTGATTCATCACTGCAAAAAAACTAAATCACTCTACATTATCATTTCCTCGCACACCCATCTTTATGTAGACAACTGGGTCAAATGACAGTCAACATATAGGCTTATAATATGACTGATAAATAAGGTTTGTATTTTACCTGGCTGAAATACAATTTTTACCTTTTCCCTAAGGAAGTGTTAGGAGAAAGTTTTTTTCCCACTTGCTTTGAGATTTGCAGGTAATGTGTGGTAACTAGTTGCTTGAGTCTTTTGCATTTTGATTTACTAAATAGTTTTTTACCTCTGCCATCTAACTTTCCAAGATGAATTTTCTCCCGACCGTTGTTAACATTTATTTCAACCACTGTACAACATGCAGCTATCATGCAGTACAGATATATTTATGTGAAATGACAGTAAAACTGAATTTAAGAAAAACAATTTATATAAATCAGTTTCATATTCAAGGAAATCAGAACTGTTTTCTCATATTGCAGCAGTTTGTACTACAGGTTCTATGAGGTCCATGTTGGCTGAGTAAGGTTTTACTGCTCTAGTTTACTAAATGTTAGCACCACCATAAGAAAACCATTTCACACTTTGAACTCTTATCATCCTCTATACTTAAAGCTGTAAAACACTGAAGGATTTCTGCTGCAGGTGGAGTGAAACTGTTTCAGTCTTGATTAAAAGTGGTGAGGACCATGGCCAACGACACAATAAGATGAGATGAGATGAGAGAGGCAAAAAAGGCAGAAAAAGAGCAAGAGATCTCTTCTGCCAGTTAGCTGCAATCTATAGCATGCCTCCTATTTGTCAATAGCTCATAACACCGAGCTGACAATGTCTTATGCCTAGCTTAAAGCAAAAACTAAATCAATATTCCAGCGCCTGCTCAGATTGATAATTTTATAGTCCATAAATCAGATTAAGTTGGATGATTAATATCCCACTCATGACGGGAGTATCCAGGACCAGCTGAGCTTATAGAGTCAATAGTATAAAGCTGCAGTACCGGAGGCTGCAGTTTCAGGGCCTCCGCAATCCTAGGACCGCAGTTCTAGAACCCTAGTTCTTTTGCGACAGCTCCATCTAGTGGAGTGGTGGTGATAATACACAGCCACATAAAGGAGGTTAACCCTGTCTGCTAGCACTTCGGCCATGTGCAGCTGTAGGGTTAACCGGTTGACATGCATATAATCAGTAACTTAGGTTTAGGCACACACTGGTGGTGGTTGTGATAAGGGTAATTCGGGGGGCTGTAAAGAGTAACATAGCTAGCTAGCTAGCCAGTCAGCTAGCTGGCAGTATCAAAGTAAACAAGTGTTCTAGAATTGCAGTTCCGCTCTTAGGATTGCGGTCCTGAAACTGCAGCCTCCGGTACTGCAGCTACATGCTACTCTATGGAGTGGACACTTTCAAATGTGGAGACTTTATTTGAAACAGTAACTAAAGCGGGTATTTTAATGGACAGAAAGAATTTTTGTCATTAGTGACTACCAGTGGTAATGTCAAAAAAAAATAAAAATGCCACTGGCACAGAAATCACTGACCACCCAAAACATCTACTACAAATCTGACCCTGAGATACTGAGATGAGTTGGATGCTACGTCTAGATTGCCCACATCACCAGGCCAGTCTCACTTGTCTACATACAGAAACGTATATGCCATCAAAATAATTTGCGCTATAATCACAACAAAACTTCTGCCAAATATTCTGCCTTTAAGGCTAATAGAGCACTGCAAATGAGATAATTCCATTTCTTTCCTGTTAATTTATGAATTCAATGAAAAATAAAAGAAAAAAAATGCTTTTTTTTTTTTTTTTTGAAATCTGAGCCTTCATGGGTCTAATTAGGTAATTTTACACATATCCAAGGTTAATATTTATCTATAACCAGTGTTATGCGCATGGAGGTCTTACATTGTGAGGACTCAAGCCCTAAAAACGAACCACGTCAAGCCTTAAAAATATTTGATAGAAAACCGCTTCCATATCATCACTGCTAAATCCTGCAGAAATATAACCTGCTAAGCATAAAAAAAATTTCTGAAGTTCAAATAAGCCTGTGCTATATAGTATAAGATCCAACATGGACTTGCCCCACCCCGACTAAAGCCTAGTTCACACTACACGATTTTTTGCCCGATTTGCCGCTCGGCGACCGTCAGGCTGTGATTGGGAGTAAATCAGGGGTTGATCGGCAGTCACCAGTCGTTATGTGTCAACTACTCAATGATGCGTCAAAACGGCTCCCCAACACATTTCTGACACATCGCAGACGTCTGCCAGATATCTAGCATGCCAAGTACCATATCTTGTAATGTTTAGCTGTGTTACCTTGTACTGTGATGACCTGATGGGGGACTACAGATGTAAAACAGCCTTTGGGCTAATTCTGGCATATTTACATTGCTGAACAAATTATAAATAAATAAATAAATAAAAAAAAAAATTTTAATCAATTACTAGCAACTGTAGAGGTATACGTGTCCCTTGCATAAAAGATCATTTATATTTCTGGTTATGATGCTAATGTACTCGTCAAGTTCATTGCTGAGATCAGAAAACACGGCAGCATTGCTACATCAGAGACGGGTCAAAAAACTCTTTCAGAACAACACATTACCATCACATTACCTACACAAAAATTAGCAAAAATGACAAGTTGTTATAAACTGCATTTATCCTTTACAATCTGTGAACCTTTACCAAACCATTAATTGGAATTTCTGAGCCAAACCTAATTCCTATGGTGCTTTCAGACCAAAAACGAAGCGAGCGTTTGGGGCGGAGAGTTTACATACAAAGTCAATGCAAAGGCGCGTAGAGCCGGTATTTACTGTCGGGCGGCGCGAAGGCAACGCAAAGGAAGCTTGAGTTGAAAATATTCAACTCACACAAGAAAGTCGCATAAAGCTGAGTCGCGATAGCCTATCCACGTTGAGATTGTCCGGTCGTTTTTTCTACGGCGTTTACTCGCGGGAGGAGCTCGGAGTTAACTGCTTTTATTAAAGTAGCTTTTTACTTTAGTTTTTGTGATTACAACGTTGATTTATCTTAACTGGAGCTTCTCAGCTGCTAGCTTCCGTGCACATCCGGTTCCAGTGTTGTTGTTAGCGTCATTAGCTCTGTCGGACTACAACTTCATATTCATCTAAAAACCGGACATTACTTGGAGAAAAGAAAGCGAGGAAGTTTAACTACCTGGTGAGTTCAGAAAACATGTGTCTGTAACTTTATTACAGAGTTAAGGTCCACAGGAAAGTCATGCAGTAAGTATGCCGTACAATGTGGGAGTAGCTATAGGTCATGCTGAAAGACACAGACCACAGAATCACCACAGAATGAAAATTTAATTAGGGAAAGCAGCCAGCTGAGGGGAATGGCACTCCTGGAGAAAGCATGTGAGCTGATATGTTCCCTATAGCGTGGTTTAAGCTATTTATAAATGTGTTTAATTGTGAGTTTGTGAGTGTGCATCTCTGCAAAGCTGTGGACAGATGTGTAATGAGTTTCATGTAAGGGCAAACATGCCGTGGGCAATCTCAGCACACAACATTTATGCTCCAGCTCAGGGAGGAAGAGGAGCGACCTTCAGAAGTAAAGAGAATGTGGGTGTCAACCCAGTGCTGCAGTTTTCCCAGGAAGGCTTTCGTTCCCTGTAACAGAATCTATTTAACACAGACACAGACCATTTGAGATGTCCACTACTGACAGTTTTAAGTAACTATAATGTAACCCATCCACCATTATTTAATGTACTTATTTCAAACCAAAACACGATCTTCTCCTAAACCTGACCAAGTAGATTTGGTGCCTAAACCTTACCAAAACCATGATCTTTTCCCAAACCCAAAGGTGTTTCATACGGACACCGAAGACCATATTAAGGGTACTTGAATTGGTCTGAATCTGATTTATGGACTGCTAGACCCAGTTTTAGATATGCCAAAACAAAATTACCAAAAACATTAATTTTGGTGCAACATCAAACACAACATAAAGGCGAATACAAACATAGTCAAAGAAAGATGCAAATCCAGGTCCAAGATGAAAATTCATGAAGACTCTTCAGCTTAAGTTGCAAATGTTTCAACTTGAGTAAAGCCAAAGCCCAGAGGGATTTCCAGCACAGGTACAGGAGACCACAGTGACAGCTGTCTCACCCATGGTAATGAGTCGTCATGAAAGCACTCCACTGACTGCTGCAAAACTAGGGATAGTGCTTTTGACCTGGGTCTAAACTTTAACACTGTTAAGTGAAATTAAGTAGTATTTGTTAATGTTTATATTGATATTTCTCTCCAGGCACCTGGTCATTTTGCAATGGTGAGCCACCCTAACACCTTTTCAAGGAGCTAACAGTTAGCATGCATTCCTAATGTGTGCATTCTGTTACACTTTGTAATCGTGTTGTAATCAAATTCTGCAAGTGTTAAAATAAATGTTTTAAAACACCACACATGACCATCTTTATTTTGCAAACTTTATTTTCCACGTATTTTTTAGGAATATGAAAGAGATATATTTACACCTTTAAAATGTTATGGGGCTAACATTTGTGTAGTTAACAAATGATCCTTATGATGTCTAACACTACATTAAAGTGTTAAGAAAAACTAGCACTGGTCAGTGTTAATAAGAGTTAAATAAAAAAGTCCATAAAAGAGTAAAAATTAGTAATACAGTACAAACACTCACAACACAACTCTTTGGTGTGGACCACACTTTAAAAGTGTTAAAATCAACTCTGACAGTGTTAATTTGGGTATGCTGATTTTATTGTGTACTAACAGGGTGTTCCAATACAAAAAAGCAGTCCGGCTAAGATACAAAACCAAATTCACTGCGACAGGCACTCAGAGTCACACCCCTGTTTGGGATAATGAAAATAACTAAAGCATATCACCACAGAACTTCCCCAGTTAATGACTTACATCAAGAGTATTTTCCTCTGAAATG